TATATATATATATACAGTTTTTTTTACTGTAATTATGCACACACGCGCGTGCATGCACACACACATTTTACTGTAAGTGTGTGTGTATATAAAATCACAGTAAAGACCACAAGGCAATAATAAAGGCGTGTAAGCAGTAGCAAATCCAAAACGATTTGCTTCTGTTTTTCGTGTACCGTAGTTTTAAAAAACAAAAATTTCTGAAAACTACTATTTAAAAAAAAAAAAGTATTGAATTTGTTTAACGACATTCAGAAGATGCAAAATAAGAAAGATATTTTCGATATTTAATGTTCTTTTTTACTATCATCAGTGTAAAAGTAACGCTACATATAAACAGCAACATAAAAACATATGTGCTGTTTACGTGGAAATTATTTATATCGAAGAAAACTTACGCGTGATTTTCTCATTTCAAACCGGTTATTTTTTTCTAGAAGATGTAAAATGTTCTAGTAAATCATTTACTGTCGAAAAAAAATCGCGGTGAAAAATATTTGTATAAACTTTAACATTGCTTTAGAACTGTTATCAAATTTCACTACAAACTTTCAGAACAACCCAATATTTTATATGTAATAGAAGAAAAACATATATATATATACATATATTTATATATATGTACACGTAAAATATATATGTAAATATACAATACATACATATATATGTAATATGTACATATGTATAGATGTAAATTGAAAGGTCCCATCATTCCGACATTGACGGAGGAGGTGGTGGAGGCGGCGGAGGTGGCGGTCCACTCGGCAGGGGAGGAGGCGACGGTGGCGGTTGAAGAGGCGGTGGAGGCAACAATTGTGTATCTTCCTGCCGGGTGGACGCAGCCGATTGTACGATATTTTGATTCTGATAAAGGTGATTTGGGAGCAACGACGGCGGTGGCACCGACGTGTTGATGGTACCGTCCGGCGTCACTATTAAATTACTTCCTGTCGGATACATCGAGTATTGGGATTGTTGGTGAAATTGTTGATAGTACTGCTGATAGGCGGGATCGTACACGTACCCGGTGGATGTATTAAACATTGGTGTATGATAATTAGTATAAAAATAAGAATCTATGCCTTGGTCAGTTTGACCAGTCCCTCTCGGGTATCCGCCGACGTCGCCGCGAATAGCCGGGGGATGATGGGAATTATAAGGGGCTTGATGATGTTGATGACCGCGACTACCATGGCTACCGCGGCCATTACCGTAAATCTCCCGCTGGTAGTGACCACTAGCGTTACCGCGTTGACCCGCAACTGCATGATGTAGTGGTGGTCCGCGACCGCCGTGATGCTGACGGACGCCTCTTCCACGTACCTTATTATTGTTGCCGGAGTTATAATGCCTGCCGTTCTGCCGTTCTCCAGGTCGGTGGCCCTGGCCATAACCCGTCGTAGGTATCATCACCGCTTGCTTCTTTGTGGGCGGAAGGCCACTGCTGCTCGAGCTGTCGCCAATCATCTCGACTCGCTCACGCTTTCGACTTGTCGTTTCGTTCGCGGATGATTCAGAGAGCTGCAGATATGAGGATCCGCTCGCGCCGTTCGACGACGACGACGATGATGACGTCGACGGCGGTGGCTGCGCGGAACTCCTCGAGATGCCATCAGTACGTATCTTGATCTTTAGCGGACCTTGCATCATCGGTGGCTGCGCAGGAGATGAACTGGGTACATTATCGGTGCCCTTGAGTCGTTCCTTGGGAATCTTGATTTTCAGAACCGTGCTCTGTGGCGATATATTTTTGTCCGATGAGCCGGGACCTCCGCTGACCACGGTCGGCGATGCTTCCATGCCCAGATTCAGTTTGTCCTTAGGAATCGTAATTTTAATGGGCGCTGCCGCTGGCGTCTCCTCGCTTTTTTCCTTGTCTTTTTTCTCACGATGTTTCTCTTTAACCTTTCCCTTGTGTTTATGCTTATTATGCTTACTGTCTTTACTCTTCTCCTTGTGCTTGTGTTTTTCTTTTTTTTTCTTCTTTTCACTCTTATGATGCTCCGATCGTTTCTCTTCGATCGGAGGCACAATCATTACCGTGGAAGCTGCTGGCACTGCCAACTCCACCACATTACTGTTGCTTGGTAGCGTCATCGACACATTATCGGAGAGAACACTGATATCTACGGTTGAAGCTATCGGCGTGAAATTATCGGTCGCTACCGACAAACACTGAGTCGTCACTGCTAATTGATCTATTAATGAATGTTGAACAGACTGTAGCCGATGCTGCTGTTGCTGATGCTGCAGTTGTTCTTGATGCACCTTTTGAGTGGGTAATTGGCTAGGTTGTTGTAGTCCCTGCAACAGTGAAGGCATCGGCGCCAGTGTCTCTTGGAGTAATGCGCTTATACTCTGCGCAGATTTAATCGGCGACGTGTATTCAAGTTTCGTCTGCGAGTGGGAATGCGTTGATTCTGGAGCCCTATGTTCCGATGGTTCATTCTTTATATAATGCTCTACAAATTCCCTTTTCACGCGATGCTCCGAGTGCTCTTGTTTTACTATGTTGAGGTCCAGACCATTAGTCAAAGTGTTGACGTTTATTAACGAAACTTTTTGCTGCGACATCGTATTGAATCGCAGCTGATCCGACTCGAACGGTTTGATAAGTTCCGGTGGTTTCATATCGTTAATGACTGATGATGCGCTACTGTTCCTTCCGTTTGACGATGGATTGTCACGTATCGGTTGGATCAGATCAGGTACGCGACCAAGCATCTTCATTGCCTCCAAACTGGTTGTATCCTCAGTCTTGATTTCTGTTTTTATTATCACCTTCTCGTTCTCACTGATACTCGATGCACGGGTCCTCTTATGCGTAGATACCGTGCCATCGTTGGAAGATGGTCGTTTTACCGTTAATGAGTCTTGCAGAGTCGGAGAACTCGCGAACGGTGACACGCGTTCCTTCATCTTTGTAGCTGCAGAGGGTGGTGTCTTCTGTTTCGATTTAGGCCTTGCGCTTTGCGCGTGCGGTTCTCTGATCACAATCGGAGTCTCTGGACTGAATAGTGATCTATGCTTGCCAGGTGGTGTATGCAAACTGCTCTGTTGAACATCGATGGAATTTCTCTCAACGAATTCTTCGTGGACATTTGATCGCGATCGCTTTTCCGACTTTGTATCATCCACATTGTTCAATGTGCTTAGGCAAGACTGGGAATTACCATTTTTAATAGTATCTTTCAGAATCTGGGACACACCCTGCGCACTGTGCTGACTGTACATTTGTGTTTTAATGGGTGCGGGTTTCTGCGATGATGAAGTGCTTGGCGATGTACCCTGCGGCAGAGCATTCTGGCTAGTAGTTGTCGCATGTTTCATTTCACCCGTGAATGAGCTGCCTTTGTCCTGTTGTTGCTGATTGTACTTGGCATGATGAGGCTGTTTCTGCTGCGCGTTCATCAGATACGGTATGTCCGCCTGCTTTGGCGGCGGCAATGGTTTTTCAATCAGCTTCCGCACCTCTTCACATCTCTGCTCCAGCGTCTCTGCTTTTCGTCGATTCTCCATTCTATTCATATCTGCATATTTGGCGGATTTAAGTCTTGGATCCTCCCCTCGGTACAATCTCTTATCATGCGCCTGATGCTTGCTATCGAGCGCATTCAGTCTATGTCCACTGTGATTATTACTCATCTTTTCCTGCAAACTACTATGCGAGGATGCGGAATCCTGCACGGCACCACTGTCCGATCTATGAGGTACGGATTCGGACGAGGAACTATCTAAATTGGCGTGAGAATGCGAAGAGTGTGTTATACCGGCGCTTGTGCTGGCCACACCAGTATTGTGTTCTCTTGGCAATCGTTGCCTACTGGGATCGCGATTAGGTTGATTACTAGTCGAGTGTCTCTGCACTGGTTGACCGACTTTCATATCCGGCCGATGATGATGATTATGATGAAGGCCAGTACTCTTTTGCACAGATGGCATTTGATGCTTGTTCGGTATACTTGTATTCGATACTGGTTTATGATGATGCGAATGGTAGGGCTTGTTAGGATCGGTGATATGGCACCCAATAGCGGCAGCTGCTTTCTCTCTCTCTAGACGCTCTCGTTCCTTCTTCTCTCGATATTCTCTATAATCTATTGCGGTTGTTGTTCTCGATGGTCCTGCAATAGTTCCAGTTTTCTTCTCATCTTGCTTCTCTTGTTGCGCATGATGAGAACGACTCGAATGAGCAACAGTAGCAGTGGCGGCGGTGTTATCCATGGTATGATGAGAGCGACTCGAATGGGCAGCAGTGACAGAGGCAGCAGAGGTAGTTGCGTCTGTCGCATGATGAGAACGACTTGAATGAGCAACGGCACCGTCCATCGTATGATGAGAACGACTCGAATGAGCAGTAGCACCAGTCGTAGAAGTAGAAGCGGTACCATCTGCAGCATGATGTGAGCGGCTCGAATGAGCAGCGGTGGCAGCGGGGGGAGCACCTGCGGTACCTTCCGCCGCATGATGAGAACGATTGAAATGAGCCATAACAGCAGCAGCGGCACCATCCAATGTTGCTGGAGATTGTATTCTACGCGGCTCGGCATCCTAAAAAGATGTGATTTAGAATTCGTAAAAAAAATATGCGAAAACAATCATATTCGTATGTACGAGTTACTTACAAATGGCGAATTTGGCAGACTCGGATGATGAATACTTGGACTTTGATTCGCGGAAATGCTCATAATTTTTCTTTTCAATCTCGATGGACACTTATCAAATATGTGAAGAAATTCGTCTGTGAGTTCTTGAAGTAATTCTGATGTTACAGTCCTATCTACATACCAGAACCATTGTCTTCCTTCAGTACTTTGCGGTATCTGTGCATGGAAAAAAAGATAAGTTATTATTAAAAATGTACCAATAAATGTTAATAATTACAGAGAATCAAGATAGACATAAATCAACCTGAACAATAAAGGCAAGACATGATGATTATTTTATAACTTTCATACTAAAATTATTATTGCATATTAGCATTCTGCAATTTGCAACTTTTATACGGATGTTTAAAAGTTTATATACTTCTCTTACCTCCCAATTGGACCATTTACACGCGAGGTGTATGCAAAAACAAGCGACAACTGTCGGCTTATATTGTAGACACATTGTAGTTAAATGTAGGCTGCAAAAGAAAAGAAAACGCATAAAACCGGCATTGAGCGCATTGAAACAAGCTTTCATTATTTAATGATTTTAAAGATTCGCGCGCGCGTGTGTGGGATTTGTGTTGACAGGAATCATATTAGTGTACAGAAAAATGACAACACAATCCAAAAGCAATGAACACTTACCTGTTAGATGCCATAAAGTACGAAGTCTGAGCTAAGTCCTTACTCGCTAAAATATGAAGATTTCATTTTAATTCATTTTCATCATAAAGGTGCGTCTAGACTATCGAGCCGAAACGCGAGCCGAACCTCGAGCCGAGCCGCAAGCCGAG